TTGACTAAGACGTAAAAATTCTCTAATTAGTCTGGAAACGGGGACCTAATTCTTGCATTGTGTGAAAACGGGTAAGATTGGCTATAATGTAATTATCTTAATCTTCACTATCGTTACTTTTTGCCCAGCGAAGCGGGTCCTTGCAGCTAGATTCTAGATTACTTAGAAAAACAGTCTTTTATATATATAAAAAAAACTATACTATTACATACAAATAAAAACCCAGCGAAGCGGGATCTTGCAGCTAGTATAAAATATTTATAACAATGTCTGAAATGTTATCAATTTAATACACCTAAGTACTCAATGAAGACTAAACGTTGTTGCAAACAAAAAATCACATCTAAAATAGTACAGCAGAAGCCGTTCCGGTTAAGCCTTAATCCTTTTCCTCTCCCCCCGTGGAGGAATTTCGAAAAATCCCTTCTTAGTGTACGTTTTCATGATGTACCCTAACTGACTACCAAATTTCACCTCTAGGTTTAGCGGTTTGCTCTGGGCGATGATGAATCAATCAGTCAGTCAGTCAGTCAGTCAGGACAAGTAATTTTATATATTTAGATTAAAGTATATATATATTATACATTGAAGTACACGAAATACACTTTAAACTTTGATATCTACTTCTTAAACTTTTAAGCAATTAATGTTTACCTAAAGAAAGTATTGAAAATGATTCTTGTGTTGCTGTGACAAATACCTACGTGATGGCACATATTATTTATAACATGTTTCAGCATAGACGACACGATTTCATCTATGGAACGAATTTGCTTTCAAGGAATTCTAAGTCATATTGATTGTTAGCCTAAACACGTCCCTTTAAATAACCCCAGAGAAGAAAAAACTGGCGAGCGTGAAGGTCAAAATTCCTTTTGCAACATGTTGCTTCATCCTGTTGAAGCAATGTCAAACGTTCATGTTCTGCTTATATAATATGCAATATTCCTTTAAATTCAGAGTTCGTGAAGTTTATGATCATCCTGTATATATGCTGAAACTTTACTCATTCTCTAAAACGGGGTCGGCAACCTATGGCACGCGAGACAACTTTTAGTGGCACTCTAATTGAATAAAAAATAATTAAAATTTAATTTTTTCTACGTAATTTTTGAGGTCCATTATAACCAGAGCAATTTTGATAGTATAACAAAATTGGTAGAATTATGTCGGCATCCGGAATAACACTATAACTTAGATTCGGCACAACACCGCTGAAAGGTTGTCGACTCCTGCTCTAGAATATGCATTTATGGGCATTCTTGTAATTTTGTTGGAATTGTTAGANAATTTTTTCTACGTAATTTTTGAGGTCCATTATAACCAGAGCAATTTTGATAGTATAACAAAATTGGTAGAATTATGTCGGCATCCGGAATAACACTATAACTTAGATTCGGCACAACACCGCTGAAAGGTTGTCGACTCCTGCTCTAGAATATGCATTTATGGGCATTCTTGTAATTTTGTTGGAATTGTTAGATTTGCAAAATTGCTATTGAAGATATTATCCATGAAGATTTAATTATTATGAACTTTATGGAGAAACATATAAAACACTATCTTACTGTCTTAAAATATTCGGGTTGAATCTAATTCTTTTTTATCATTGTTCACGAGATTATGAACTTCTGCTTTTTCCCAAAATTGTTGTTGTTATTTAAGTTATGGCAATGCAACACTTGGGCGATTTGCCTAGAGGGACTGCTTTCCGGGAGATCTTTTTAAGGGAAACTGGCCCCTATTTAGGCGTTACAGACGTGGAGAAAACTCGAAAAACTCCACGTGGCCAGCCCGTCCGAGCGAGGCGTGAACCCTGAACTCCGAGTGTTCGGGGTACGAAGACCGCTTGGCCCCAAAAGTGAGAGCGATACTAAGAGAAACATCTAATAAAATTTCTCAAAACTCCTGAGCCTTTTTTCTTTTTTTAAACTCTTTCCGTCCTCTTACTGTTAGTATCAAAAGGGCAGTGTTACTTTAATACTAACAGTAAGAGGGCGGTAACACCGCCCTCTTACTGTTAGTATTAAAAAAGAAAAAAGGCTCAGGAGTTTTGATACTAATGAGGCCTTTTGATACTAAGAGGGCCTCATTAATTAAGCAAGCCCATTATGGGTTTGGCCATGCCCACAATCGGGTGGCTGGGTGGTGAGGGACGGGCCCCTGGACGGACCATCCCCCAAAAAATTCCTGGGTATTATTCGACCCGTCCGAATTTAATCCCGTGTCACTCAGAGCGGTAGGCTACCAGCTTAACCGTTCGGCCATCCGGCCATGTAAAGTCCTGAGTCTACTACTAATACGACATTAAAAAAATACAGTTTCCACTGGTTCAATATCATTAAAATTATTATTTGAAACTAGCTGTACTCGGCCACGCATTGCTGTGGCTCAAAATGCATCTATTATAAATGTATAACACACCCACGGGAGGAATTTCGAAAAATCCCTTCTTTGTGTACATTCTCTTGATGTACCCTATTAAAACGCAATCGAAATAGCAAAAAACCGCATGTAAAATATTATAATAGAAGCCGAGTTCTTCAAGGTAAACCTTAATTTTGTCCCTCTCCTCCGCGGGGAGAGAATTTCGACATCTACATAAAATAAAAACACGCGCGTATTCGTTGTGCCAAAATTTCAAAGCAATTGGTTAAGAACTTTTGGAGATTTTAGTTTTTGAACAAACGAACATTTACATTTTTATTTATATAGATATTGTATTTATTATGTTTATTGTTTAATAATTAAACATCGTGCTTAAACAATACTCTAATGTAAAAAATAATTCTTATTACATAATAATACAGTATATTTGTTTAACAATATCATATCAAAATTTGGACTTAATTTAAACTCTTTAATTTAAATAATGACTTCAGTTACCCTCGTTGGTGTTTCAGAAAATGCAAGAACAACAGTTTTGCAGTCTAAATTGTGGGAGAGAGGCGCCATAATAAATACTTTTATAGAAACAATTCCAAAATCAGAAACAATTTATTTATATCTACCATTTAATAAGAAAATTCTCGACATAATCGGAAGGTAAGTTTATTTAGTGATATTTATTATTAAAAATTTATTACCTATCAAATTTAATGCTTTATTTACAATTGACTGAAAGGTATATAAATCACACACAATCATCATTCAAATCAGTACTTAAAACTATTCTATTTATTACTGCTTGTTCAATATATTTTCCTTTATTTCCGTAAAAGAAAGTCAGGTCATGACATACATGCTAGAGTAGAATATAATGATTGGCTAAAATACTACAATAAATTCTCAGAGAATTACCGAAAAAATGTTTGTCAAAAATATATAGAAACTAAAATAAGACCAGAAATTCATCGAGAAGAGATAATTAAAACGGAAGAACTTCAGGATTGTATTAAGAAACTTAAAGATAAATCAACACCAGGAGCAGATACAATACCTAATTCACTCATTAAAATGCTGCCACTAGAAATCATTCAATATTTAACCAGACAATTCAATCAATTCTACAGTTATAGTATAATACCGGACAAATGGAACGAAGTCATTTTTACCATGATATATAAACAAGGGAACAAACAGGAACCAGCCAATTACAGACCAATAGCTCTTCTGTCTTGTCTACGGAAAGTATTCACTGCAGTATTAGCTAGTAAATTTAATCATTGGACAGCTGTTAATAATTATAGAAATGATACGCAATTTGCATTTGTGGAAGGAGGTGGTACTCAGACAGCTCTCTTTGTGTTGTTAACAATAATTCAAATACAGTTGCTTAAGAAAAGACATAAAGTGTTTGCCCTTTTTTTGGACCTTGAAAAAGCATACGATATGATTAGCATTACAGACCTACAAAGTAAGATGAAGAGATGTGGAGCAAATGAACCTTTGATAAAAATGATAGGATTGCTGTTTGGAAAATATAAGACAATCATTAAACAAGATGCAAAGATCTGGACACCGTTTATTACCAACAGAGGACTACTACAAGGAGATCCGTTGTCCCCATATCTTTTCAATTTTTATCTATATGACCTAAATACTTGTTTTCAAAGAGACGAAGATGGTATTCAAATCGAAAATCAGACAATACATACCATATCATATGCCGATGACATTGTGCTGGTAGCTCCTACGGCAGCTGCGCTCCGTAGAAAGAT